CTCTGCACCTGGGCTTTCCCCCTGAATCCCGGCTCCTGGAGTCCTGTGAGCCTCTCGGCCTGATGTCTCCAGTCTCCGGAGGCAAATGGAAAAGAGCCTGGTTTTGAATCCACTCTCCTGGCTGGGGGGCAGGACAGGCCCTGCCAGCCTTGTGGCCAGAGTCATTTCAGGGTGCTCCATCCAGCGCTCCCCGCACGGTCCTGGGAGAGAGAGATGTCACAGGCAGCTTTGCCATCCTTCCCCTGCAGCCCCTCGACAGCAAACCCAAAGAACCTCTCCTAATCTCGCCTTTTTCACTGCTTAATTCGTCCCCCTCTGCTTTAATTTGCTTAATACGCCACCATTAAAACGATTAAGTTCTCATTCCTTATCTCGAAAGTTATATTAACCTCCAGCTGCTCACGCCGAGCCACAGGAAGACGCTCCAAATTCCCAACCCCCTCCCCCCATGTAATGATATATTTGTCCCGATAAGGCCATTAATTAAATATGTAAATCCTCCAGAACACCTTAGCGCAGCTCTGTCAACGGGAGCTCTCTCCATAGGGTGGATTTATGCAGCCGCCGTCGGCAGCTCCCTCAAGGGCTCTATATTACATAAGCCGCGCGGCGGAACTGCGTGGCCGAGCGAGGGAAAGGGACGTATTTCACAAGGAGCCCAGCAGCTTGGAGAGAAAGTCAAGGCTTGGAAAAGCCGGAGAGGGCAGGACAGGGTGGCAGGTGTGCCCAGGTTCTGCTCCATCTTCCTGTGTGGGCTGTGCCGTGATTGCACCTTCCTTGGGTTTTGTGCCCTGCCGGAGGCCTGATACCGGAGCAGATGGGCCCCTGGGCTGCGGTAGCAGGACAGTCCTACACCTAGGCGGCTCTGCCAGCTGTTGAGGGCCCTGAGTGCAAAGAGATGGTGCAGTGTGCAAGGCCCTACGTTGGGTTCCCTGCCCCGCCATAGAGCAATGTCCCTGCTCATTTTTTTTCTGCTGGTGTGTGGATTAAATTTTGTTCAGTGCACCGTGGCAAGAGCAGATGTGCACCACCACCAGAAACACAGGCTGCCGGCAGTGGGCGCCCTGCCAATCATCTGGGCAGCATTTCAATCAAGCCTGGGCAGCCACCCAAGCACTCAGCTTACAGGGAACTCTGAGTGGTGGGACTGGTTTCAGTCCCTCTGTGGGTGAGTGGAGGGACTGAAACCAGTGTGAGTTGGGTGCCTCGTGGGGTTGGGGGCAGACTCTAGCTGCATCTTTAGGCACCTAAAATCCCTTGCATGGTCCGGCGCTTGGTCTCTCTGGGCCTCGGTTTCCCATCTGTACAATGGGTATAATAGCCGTGCCCTGACACAGGGCGGTGTTGTGAGTATTGCATTGCGACACTGCACAGACCATAGGGACACCCCCACCAGCACCACGGCTGGCAGCCACAGTGGAACCCCAGCTCCCTACCCCACCCTGCAAAGCCCCGTGGCCCCACACCCAGCCGGCTGCGTGCTGTGTCCAGCCTCCATCCTAGCCCAGGGCGATGGGGCTGCCAGGTGCAGTGGGGCAGGCCTGGCTGCTCCTCCCCAAACCCCCCCAGGGGGCAGCTCGCCT